GGACAAAGCTCCCTCAGGGCTTTGCTGGGCCCTCCACTTTCGGTCTCAGATTTTAGTAAGAGTTTTATGGGATGCTGTCTTTAAAAAATGGACCCATTTTTGACACATTATGTTGATGATTTGTTAGTAGCTGTGAAACCTTGTATGGCTGACACCTGTATCTTACGGTAAGCAATGCAACAAGCTGAACCCTGCAACTCTACTCCCTTTACCTGGGGAAGGAACACCACATCATGATTGTGCAGTAACAACCTGTGAAGCTGCAGGGCGGAATGAAAGAAAAAAACCCCACAAACATACATACCCCACCGCCACCCAACCACCCCCCAAAAAAAACCCAAACCCAGAACCTTGAGAATATTCTAGTGGATGTGCCACTTCCAGATCTTGAACTGTATGTAGATAGGTCCTCATGCTACCTGAATGGTAACCAAGTTACAGGTTATTCAGTGACTACTGAAAATAAGGTAGTGCAGGCTTCACCACCCAGCCTGAAGCTGAGCTCACAAGCAGCGGAACTGATTGCATTAACAAAGACTTGCCAGCTGTCCAAAGAAAAGACTATAACTATAGCAATTCTCTGTTTGCATCTGGAGTCTGCCACACCACTGGACAGTTATGGAAGCAATAACAATAACGAAGTATATAACAAAATCACCGTTAACATTTTGGATTAACTTCATAAGGTGACCATGAGCAAAGTCTTCGTCATCTCTCATGCCTTAATATGAAATAATAACTCACTGTCTCCCTGCAATGCATATTCTGCATCAAGCACAAGGAACAGTGGCTGCAAATTTAAAGTGGAGCTCTTTAGACATTTATTCAATGTATGTCTCCTTCAAAGTGGGGTGGGCTGTTTCCAATACAATATCAAGAATATGCAACAATATTTTATGCTGATTGCTTTATTTTATAATTCTGCATTTATATCACTGCCTTGAAAAATTATTTTTTTATAACCTTGTGCAACTTGATGTCACTACATGGTGCTGCTTGGTTTTATTAATTCATTTCCAGATTGTAGTGACTGATTTCCCTCAGATACCAAGTGGAATTCAATGCAGTAAAACCTCGTGCATCAGTGCTCTAAAATTACAGAATAGTTGCTGTCAGCCCTAGCTGCCTATAAACTGCAGAGTTGTGTGTTATTTCTGGTGCACTTGCTGTTGTTTTAGTTTTCTTCCGCTGCTGAAGCCCGAAGTCTATTTGTTCTTTAGCATTTTATTGGCACATTGGTAAACAAAGATGTGTAAGAAATATTCAGTAATAGATATACTTGTATACTTTAAAATTATTAAAAAGTAGTTGTAGTAGGAAGCTGTTTTGGGAGCGAGGGGGAAATATGTATGCTGGGAAATAACTTTTCCAAGTCAAAATGTCATGAAAACTTCACTAAGTCACTCTACTGCAGGTTTTAAAAACTCAAGCCATGTGCTTTCTACTTTGTATGTGAATTAATGCACATTCTGTAATTGGAGCGAAATAGTTGAAGAAACACATGGCATTCCACTGAAACGCTTTTTGTGACTTTTTACTGCAGACCAGGTAAGATGTTTTCATAGGTAGGTCTCACTTTGCTGGAGAGTGAGAATGAAGTAACTATTATCTGCTCTCACTTCCTTCACCGGGATTGTGACTTTGTGTAGCAAATTGCTTGGTATGCGTTAAGGCAGTGTTTGGGAAGATGGGTGTCTCTGAGTTACTGGTAGAAGTGAGTCAGGAGGGAAAAATACATATGGTTAAGCACAGATTGAAATAACCCAGTCTTTTTCAATTGAGAGAAACAAATATAGGTTACCTGGCCATCTGACCTTTGATGGCGGCCTTAGGATTAAATCTCTTGCTTATGTCAGTGATTGTAGCTCTAAATTTCTCTATTGAGTGAACTATGGCCAGAGAAAACTCCTCTGTTCAACAGCCATTTGGACCTGCTGATTCTAGAACTCCTTCATCCCTTCTCCAGTACTGAGCATAGAGATTACTGTTCCTCAATTTGGTGTCCAGTCCATCTGGGTTTGTATTATGTTTCTCATAATAATGATGATGAGAAAGCATGTGAACATAAGTTTGCCTGTAGGATGACCATTCAAGAATCGTCTGCCTGGCCAAAGGGATGTGTATACTGTCTCATTCAGTGTTAATGCAGAGGTTCTCAGGATGGTTCTTGAAAGGTCTAAGTCCCATTAGAATGGGGTCTGTGTAAAGATATGCCAGAGGAAGCAAAGCTGTTCTGCTTTCAACACAAAAGGCAGTCCACTTTGAATAACACAACTTTGTGGTATATTGCTCATGGGTTATTAGAACTTCTGCTTCATAAGAAGCTGTCGTTAGTTTTTATTACCTTGCTTGTCTTCCAGCAGATTTTGAAGAGGACCAAGTATTTGGTTCAGAAAGATTGCCTTTCATTCATTTCAGAGACTGCAAATGTCTCCAGCTGTCTTTGTGTTTGCTTTAGCAAATCTTCTGGGGCTAGTGAGCAATTAGAAATTCATTAAGCCTGGAGAAATATCAGGTCACATCATATGCTACTATTCAACTCCAGCTGAGCAGCAATTCTGCTCAGTTGGGTGGGAAAATGGATACACCTGACTGCTTGTTTCTACTGCTTTATAGGCTCCTAAATGCAAGGCATCGAGTCCCAGCTATATATTCTTGTGGCAGAGAGTGCTTAAATCTGTGGTGGGTAAGCCAGGCAGTGTACAGGGAATGCTGTGAACAGTGTGTGAAAGGCACTGGAAGCAGAGTATCTAGCTTGCCAGCTGAAGGGTAGGCATGTTCTGGGAATCCTGTTTGCCTACCTGACACTCCGTTAGAAAGGCCTTCAGTATGAAACAAAGGATCCTCCTAATATTTTGGAATGAATGTTTTTAAGAAACTTGTATTTTTTTGAAAATATTCAACTGGAATATGGGCTTCTCACTGAAGGCATTAAAAATAGGAAGTTACTCACACTGCACGTGCAGTCTCTTCTGGGATATGTTCTGTGACAGCTCTTGGACAAGATCCTGTACCATATACTGTTTTTTAAAAAACTGCAGACTTCAGTCTGCACAGCTGTTTCAGTTGTTTCTTTCTTTCCATGGTACCCAGAGAGAACATTTCAAATACTTTGTCTTTACCTGGGAATAATGTGATAAATGACTAGTGTGTGTGTAAAAACACTGAACAATGATGCACTCCATGCAGAGCCACTGAAACCCTTCTGAACCATGATGCTACTTTAATATGTCAATGTAAAAAAAATTGCTGTGAAACACTACTTTCCAGTTATCCTTTTTCATTTTAAAACTGGTACTCTTGGTCTTCTAATGGCCTCAGTCCCCTCTGAGACCTATGTGGGGTTTTTTTTTATAATTGTGGCTTTAGGATTTCTGACTTAATATGGAACAGATTAGTTAAGTTTTGGAAGAACTAAGAGGAAGGGAGGGAATAATAGCAGAGAGTCATTCCTAATATGAATGTGACTAGATTTCAACATCCTTACAAATCTGATAAGCATACTCACATCCATGAGTTTTTTTCACTGGGCAACTTCGTATTTTATTTTTCAGAAATAAATTGTAGTTGTTCTACCAAATAATATAGAAGATAATATAAACAATTTTGACTGAATTTTTGTACATGTGGGACACTAAGGGAAGTCAAAGAATAATCATTTTTTCCATTGTAGACTACCTGCCAAATTTCTTGTACCAGTTCTGTATGGATAATTGTAACAGTAGGGTTTTTACCTTAAGCATGTTCTTCCCACTTTGTGACAGATAGCAAAGCAGGAAGGTGATTTTGGAAGGTCATGTGCAGGCATGCTTAATTCTGTAGAAAGCTTGACCAATTGTGGCATTCTTGTATGTGTAGACTAGAGATTCTGTAGCAGCTTCAGATATTTCATATGCTAGCAGATGCTTTCTTGTATACTTAATGCCAAAACAAGAGTCTTCAAATCCATGGTGCCTTTTCACGTAACATGCTATTACATTCATTTTATTGAACAGGTTACGAATTTCTTTAATTCTCTATGTGATACATAATTTCATAAGAAAATGTATCACATCTGGGTAATCTGAATGACTGGGCATGTACATACTTTGGACAGTTGCAGTTCTGACACATTCACGGAAATGGAAGGACTTGTGGTAGGAATTGTTGTTCCCTAGGGGGATGCTCTCATGTTTGTATCCTACTCTATTCAGGCTTCTATTGACAAACTCTCTAAGCTTAAAAGGGTTCTATTTCACCTGAGCAACCGTTGTTTGCAGTTTCACACAGATAGTACCTTCCCAGTTTTTGCAAATGTGGGGGGCTGCCTGTGTGAGATGGTAGGGACTTTCCTTCAGGTGGGTTCCTTTGAGCTAATCTTTCAGTGGATGTGCGGCCAATCTCAACCTCCACAGTGTGACGAAGCTGTGTCATTACAACCTTATCTGTGTAAACCCAGAGAACTAACACTTAAGTCCTGGAAGCTAAAATGGGACTGAAACTAACCTGTTCTGATATAAATGGGTGACAGGCTGAGACTGAAAATGTTCTGAAAGGCTGAATTCTTGACACGCAAAGCCTCATTGGCGCCTTTAGGAATAAACATATTTTCTACTACAAATGATGCATGGTCTCTCTACGGTCTTCAGATAATCTTTACTGATGTAGGTCAGAAGCTTAGTCACTCACATGCTGTCACCTTGATAAATATGCTTAGAAGCATCTAAGCAAACACATGATGGAATCTGTCACTTTTTAAATCATTTGTTCATATTGGTTAAATAGTAATAGGCGTCATATTTCTGTTAAGCTGACAAAGTTCAACTACCATATTGAAGAGGTCACAAGCCTGACAGTACCTTAAATCAGAGTTTCTAGACACCACATTTCTAAATTTGGTCACTTATCCACTGTCATTTTGTTTCCAAAATCTGAATAAAATCTACCACCCAGTTTTCAAAATGGTTAGTGGAAACAACATGTATATAAAATTGTCTTTTAATTTCATGACGAGTTACGTATCAAAGTTGTGTTTCCTCCCTGGTGTCTTGTCCCACTGTATTGCAGAAGCTGTCTTTTCGGATGGGTGCAGTATTTGGAACATAAGCCAATGGATCAGGTCGGATCAAGTATCTATAAAAAAAAATTACAACTCTTATTAAAAATACTGGGCATGAGCAAGGATAAAATAAGCACATACAGTTGTAACATTGAAAAGATTGGAGGAAGAGTTGAGAGACTTATTTTGAAGGTGCTTAGTCTAGTTCCTGTTGGGTAACTTGGACACTTGGGTAACACCACTCACTTTGGATGCTACTAATAAAGCTTTTCACATTTTGTCTTCCTAGGCATCATCTATATGTACTAGGCACAGTTAAACCTTAATTTTGACTGACAGCTCCTTTGCCAGTAACTCTGTATTTCTTTATGCATCTCCTTTATTCATTACACCTTAAAGAAGGGACAATAAGTCCACGGAGTCATTTATAGAAGAATTTTGTGAGAAAACAATGGATAATTCTTGTTGCTGTGCTCAATAAATAAAAAGCCTGATGTTGATAATCTTGATGTGGGCTGACAGATGGACCCTTATTCCAAGAACTTCTAGAAGATACGAATACTTGAGGAAAACACCTCATGAGTTTGAATCTAAGTTTGAGATGTTTAAAATAATTGCTTTTCTTATGATAAGGATGGAAGAGCTTCCCATTAATTTGTCAGTGTAAATTCTGCACTGTTTTGTCAGCTGTCTCAAGTGACAAACTGCTCTGAGACAGCTTTTGGGACTGATGCGGTAGCAGCTTTCTGATGCTGCAGAACTAACGTTTCAGTGTTCTGAACTATCAATCAGTGCTTTCCAGCGCCGCTGTGCTCCTAAAGACAGACAACTAGATTCAATCCCAATATTTTGTGCAAAGATGAGCAGTACTGTTGAAGCCACTGGTTTTGACTGGGTTTTTTCGCCAAGAAAGAAAAATGAAATGTGAAAGGAACCTTTCTCTCACATTCTCAGAAATCTTGGTGCCACATGTCTGTCCATCTCTTCCTCGTCAGCCAAATGAAAATGCTTAAATATCCAAACAGAGATCATGTGCGCTTATAAAGATTTGCTGTATTATTTTGCAGTGGCCCTGAAGAAAGTTTCTGGTTTTACAGGCCATGAACTTCAGTATAATGAGTATGTTTTACCCCAGATTTACCTAAAACATCCTGAAAAACTCTTCAACAAAATGTGAAATGGAAAATGCTGATTAACTGAACGGATATGTTCTGTAAGTGTATGAGCAATCACTCTTATTTTTCCCCCAGAACTGCTGTGTCTGTTTCCAGCTCACCTAGTAACAGATCATTCCTGGCTCCTCAAAGCATGGGCTTCTGAGTCTCTTGGGCATTGGCTTTATGGTGGATACCCCAGAGAATTGCCTTATCTCCATGATGTGGCAACACCACCTGCCTCTGTTACTTTCTCAATGTTTCTCCTTTTATCAGGGCTAGAATAGCAGCGTTTTCTCTCTCTCATGAAGTTTGTTGCTACATATAGCCTGAACTTATTTGTTTGAGAAAACAGTTGACATGGGATTAAAAAAATCTACTCATACTGTTCCTATCTAGATCATGTTCTCATGGTATCTATTTATTTCAAGTCAGTCTTATTACCCTCTATTTATAACATTTGATATTTATGTTTACTCCAGAACAACCTATTTGTTTTGCTGATCCAGCCAATTAAACTGAGTAGTGAAACTGCTCTATTCTATTAATCAAATCCAAATGAAGCACATTTAAACACATGAAAAATAATCTCACTTTTCTTGCTTGATTTTTTTTTTTTTTTCCCCTTGATAAAATTGTTAGAAGCCCAAACATACGACTAGTGCTTCAAGGGTTTATAACTGCCCTGATGTCACAGCTGCCAAATCTCAGTGGTCACCTTCCTCCCTTAAGCACGTCTGGAGCAGTGCTGCATAGGAGTTCCCACATGTGAACTTTGGATGTTACTGCAGAGTGCTGAAATTTG